TTTTTTTAGCTATGCACAAGTAGACGACTTACCGACTACCATAGAGACAGGGAGATATTTTCGGGGGTCCGGGTTTGCGTTCAGCACGTGCAAAATTGCCTCTGGTATAAACTGAATGCTGCCGTTTGAACCGACGTTGCAGCAGCCTGCATACCGTATACGGTGTTCTGCGCACGGGATCGCATTTGGACATATGATCTCCTCATCTGATGGCCAGCGAGAGCGGCTATTATTGTTTTTAACCGCAGACCCTGCCGGTGGGAAGAAGAGAAACGAGAGAGTTATAATATTGTATTTTTACTAGAAAACATTCAGACTTGAAGTCGTTTGGAATGTGGAGAGAGTATAAAGACATGTTCTTTATAGCGAACAGTACATTTTCATGTAGACATTCATCTTTACGAATAGTGCATGCGCTTAAACCGAGTTCACCATCAGAAAAACACGTAAAAATGTGCAGTGAGTTTAGAAAGTGAGCCCTCAGAGTTCACAATTCGAAAGACTGTGTTTCAAATTTATTAAAATAACTTAACCGAACAGTGTTAAACAGAGCACTTGAAATAAAATATCCGAGGCAGCGGCTGATTGTTTCCACGTACTTTAATTTGCAGCTTGCTTTTAGATCCGAAGGTAAAACTAAAAAACTTAATCCAGCGGCAGGTGAAAGTAAACTTGATTTTAAGTCAAAGCTGTGCGCTTCAGCCAAGCTCAGGGAACCGAAATACGATCATAGAAGTACATGAAAGCACTGCTGCGTAGACGATCATGTTGTACAGCTGATGTCCACTCACGTTATACTTGTTTCGATCTACTAACATAACAGTCAAAAGGTTTCCCTATTTAACGGGATCCAACGACGGCTTTTCCCTAAGCTGATAAATGAACTGAACAGGCATGACAGCGCAAAAGAATTCACTAAGGCATTAAAAACAAAGGTGCTGCTGCTGCTGCACTTGCCTCGACATTGTAAACTCGATTTTCCTTAAACGTGCTATACAATATATAACGCGTTCTTTACTACTTAGTTTAATTCAGTAACTGGAATTATAAACTCTATTTCAACTGCACAAGTGCATGCGAATTAATGTAAATAAACTCAATAGAAAGGAAAAAATTATGCAGATGAAAGCATCCTACCGACTGAGGGGAACTTGGTTTTCGTCAACAGCCTATCCAGGTTGTCGTTAAGGAGTATGGTCACGAGGGGTTGAAAAAGCAGACCACTGGGCAACCGGAGTTTAATAATCTTTATTTTTATTGGTCGAGGACCGTGTTGAACGAGAAGTTGCTTCAGGTCGAGGGCAGTTCCATGCAGCGGCCGACCAACGAACTCGCTGATCACGTCCCCACATTCTATACTTCCCTCGTCCAACACAAAGGAATAGGGCTTTATGTCGGTCACGACATAGTGTTTTCCACACATCTGCACACCAAGACCCAGGCGCCTGAACAAAGAGCAAAATTTCGATAAACCAGTGGCAGGTAGCGCAAAAAGGAGTTAGGGCAGCGTTTCAAATATTTGCCGCGTACATATTTATACGTCGCCCAAAATGCATCCTACAAACGGCACCGAAACAAGAATGAAAAGTTGGCGATAGAAGCAAAGAAGGGAGCTCCAAGAAGCAGTTCAGAGCAAAAAGCTTCGATCGCTGCACAGGAAAGTTTACTGGACTGACGTTCCGAATTCTTGTTCGAACCCATCGTCAGAGAGATTCACAGATAAGCATATGTGACTGCCTCTGATGATGTGTTCGAATGAGAATGCGAAACGTCAGGCCAGTAAACTTCATATTC